TGTCCCGCGCCGCACCCTGTTGCGTTGGGTCCCGTGGTCCTCCCGCGGAGTGCAGGTCTCTAGTTCAAAGTGCAGTAAGCAATAAAGGCAGGATATGTGATTTGGTTTAAAAACACTTTTGTTATGCTGGTTGAAAGTCTCTAAACATCCCGATAGCAATCACTAAGACTAAGTTAAGTGGTCGAAATATTTATATGTATTTATATCACCTGTGGAAGGCTTAGGACCATAAAATGTTCGTCCAATCAAAATGTTCAGTCCGAAGATGAAGGTAGGCTGTCTTGCCTGCATGTCAAAGTATGTATTTGCATACATACGTCATCAGCGCGTTCCAGCCAGAATGAAAGCAAAGACTATAGAATACCCTTAGCCTTAAATAATAGAATAGAATAGCCTTAAAGGGACTTTGATGAAAGGCGTTATTATTGTAATATTATGTGCTTTGTACTGTAATGTTTTCACTGGTCAATGAAATAATGTTTTTAAATCATGTTTATTTTTTTAAATGATGCAAGAAGAAATTATTAGTGGTTACAATTGTGAGTTACTCAGTTTTGATGTGTATTCTCCTTACAGAGAAAGCATCCATCGAAATTAAAGCAGTACAATGAATGCGTCTTGAAAAGAAAAAACTCAGAAGAACAGAGGTGTTCGAGTTTGTTTGTGAAAGTCTCCAGCCCTTTACCATAGTTGAACTTCCAACATTCAAAAATCTAATCCATACAATGCAACCTAGCTGTACAGCTATGTCCAGACCAACTGTGAAGCTGAGAATCGAGGAAGCAGCTGCAAAGATAAAAAAAAAACATCACTGCTGAGATGGCGAAAGTCAGCTATATAGGTACCACTACTGATTGTTGGACAGCATGACAACGGAGTTACATCGGTGTAACTGCACACTGGATCGATGAATCTTCACTGGAAAGAAGGTCTGCTTCCATTGCCTTTAGACGCTTGAAAGGATCACATACGTTTGATTTGCTTGCAGGGACCCTGGATGACATCCACTCGGAATATGGCATCTCAGAAAAAATAGTCAGAACAACAACTGATAGTGGATCAAATTTTATTAAAGCATTTAAGGTGTATGGCGAACAGAGTCAGCAAGAATTGATTGGTGCGGACTCTGCTGAGGCAGTGACACTGGAGAGTGAGGAAGAGACGCAGAAGGTGTTGAGGTTCAGGACACCTGTTCTATTTTGAACACGAACAGTGGGTTGGAGTATCATCTACCCAAGCATCAGCGTTGCGCGCGTCATCTTCTTAATTTGGTGGCAACTGTGGATGCTTCCAAGGCAGAGGACAGCAGTGAGGTGTATATAAGAAGCTTACCCGTTCAACGTTTACGAAATGCCAGGCATTATACAATAAAACCAGCCGGTCTGCCATCAATTCTGAGATCGTCCAAGAAGAATGTAAGCTGCAGTTCATTCAGCCCAACCACACAAGATGGAATTCTGTGTACAATGCTGCAGAGAGGGCAATGCGGATCCTAAAGGAGCAGAGGGAGAAGCATCCCTTCGGAATGTATGTACAGCATTCAAAATTAAAATGTAAGTCTGTTTGCTCAATCTCACATTGTTCTAATTTAAATACTTAAGGTGTTTGTGTTTTGATTGACTTTTTTTCTTTTTATTTAATAGGCTAAATCCTGCTTAAGTTTCTTACCTCTCTTGAGTACTGCATTTTGATGAAGCCTGTATCCATGGCCTTGAACATTCTTCAGTCCGAAACAAACACTCAGATGGGGTGGCTGCTTCCCACCATCTATCTTCTTGATTCCAAGCTCAAAAAGATGGAGGCTTCCATCAAGGTATGTCTTCCCCTTATTCATGCTCTGCAGCAGGGTCTACAAAAGCGCTTTGGGGAGTTTAAGGAAGATCCGGAACTCATCAGTGCAGCGATTCTTCTTCCGAAATTCAAAACGTCATGGACTGACAAGGCCCGCATCATAAAAGGAGGTAAGATATTCCTAATATTTTGTACATGAATATTATGCCAATTTCTGTTAAAGAGTCAGAACATGCAGCTTTTCGTTTTTTTAATGTCAAGTCATGGGTATATTTCGCTTATTCCACTTGTAACTGTTCCACTACTGTTTATGGCAGGGATAGGCAACGTCGGTCCTGGAGTGCCGCAGTCCTGCAGAGTTTAGCTCCAACCCTAATCAAATATACCTAAACAAGTTAATCAAGGGTCTTCAGAATTACTAGGGCTACAGGCAAGTGAGGTTTTATTCAGGGTTGGAGCTAAACTCTGCAGGACATCGGCACTGCAGGACCGATGTTGCCTATCCCTGGTGTATGGGTTTGTGTGGAGTTAAGTTATCGGTTTAATATTTACTTGCCTACTGTAGCACAGTCAGACTGTGAAACAATGTTAGAAAAGACAAGGGTATTAAGGGGTTATAGGGTAGTAAATGCAGCACTGCTCATGTAGCAAGTGAACAGCTTTAATTTCTAAAATATCCATGACAACCACAGTATATCGTCCATAACACACTAGTAAACATGCCATAGTTTGTCTATCAGCATTATCCACAATTATTATTAATGTTTGTATTTTGTGTCTGGTAGGTATGGATTATATCCTGCATCATCTTGATGCCATTAAGGGCACCCAGCAAAACGAATCACAACGTGATGCCTCTGACGAGGATGACTTCTTTTCTTCCATTAAGTCTGTTCCATCCCCAACTGCATCTGAATTGGATGGGTACTTGGCTTGTGCCGCAGAAGAGATGGGACTGCTTCACTTGTTTCCTTTGGTGAAAAAGCTAAGCCTCAAACTGAACACACCCTTGCCTGCCTCTGCAGCGTGCAAGCGCCTTTTTAGTTGTGCCGGGCAGCTGTTTACACCTAAACGAGCAAGGCTGGACAGTACAAATTTTGAGATTCAGCTCATTGTAAAACTGAACAACAAATTCAAAATGTAGGCTCGTAGTTGACCCCTGCATTAAAATCTCTGCAAGTCTGCATTCATGTTGAGAGACTTCTCAGTTGACACGTTATATTCACGTCAGTTTAATTTTCTAATTTGTGCTACAGGCTGATCTTTTTACGGTAAATTGTTAATGTACAATCCTTTGCAACCTTTTTTTTGTATTAACCTGAAAGAAGACCCCTATATAATGGTTGTCATAAATGTTACCTGATTATTGGTTGTTTGTTCAAATATAAGCCTGGATTATCAGTAAAACTGAACAACAAATTCAAAATGTAGGCTCGTAGTTGACCCCTGCATTAAAATCTCTGCAAGTCTGCATTCATGTTGAGAGACTTCTCAGTTGACACGTTATATTCACGTCAGTTTAATTTTCTAATTTGTGCTACAGGCTGATCTTTTTATGGTAAACTGTTAAAGTACAGTCCTTTTCAACCTTTTTTTTTTTTATTAACCTGAAAGAAGACCCCTACATAATGGTTGTCATAAATGTTACCTGATTATTGGTTGCTTGTTCAAATATTACAAGCCTGGATTTTCAGTGCTAGCAGTCAAAAATAAAAACTGTTTGAGTAATATTTTCTTTTTTCTTTACTGAGAAACATCCATAAAAGTAAATGACACTGTAAACTATACTTTTAATTTGCAGCGTATAAGGTGGAATAGCATTCACAACATAATACTCACTACTCTTGAGTACTTTTAAAATGGCTACTTTTTACTCTTACTTGGAGTAGTATTTAGGAGAGGTACTTTTACTCTACTCTGAATACATTTTTTGGGAAGTAATAGTACTTTTACTTGAGTACTTTTTCAGTACTCTTTCCACCACTGGTAACGATACACTGCTTCGAGTCGAAACGGAAGTTGCGTGACGTCATGTGAAAAGGGCCTATAGGCTATAACACATGATTCATATTATATAAATAATGCTGTACACCTGTTAAATGTTTCAAATCTAAAATATGGTGTAGCTTAGCGTAAATATAAGCACAAGCTCATAGGCTTGACATATATCCTGAATTAATTTGTTCTAAATGAGAAACGCACATAACTTCATAAGTACTAAATTTGCATATGTGAATATGAAATATTTTAACTACAGTGTTTATCTTTAATTTTCCGCCGACTGCAGCCGTCAAACGTAACTCATCGGCAAGGCAAAGCTGACGGCTATTTGTTGAAATGGGCTTTAAAGCGTTTACTTGATAACTAATAATTACTTGATAAAGCGCCACTCAGCGGTCAAAAGCTGCAAATGCATTTTGCAGATGCGTGGGTAAAAAGCACACTCTGGTTGTCCACCTACTGTACATCGGAAGAGACAGCCTCTTCTAGTGCAGCATCCACCATGGTGATAGCAAGCCCCCCAACTCCAGCACCAAAGAAAAAAACGAGAAAAAGTAATCCCGTTTTGAATTTTTTAGTGGAGGAGTTCCAAAAGTAGCAGAAACGCCATGAAGAGAGCGAGGCCAAGACTGAGAGGTTTTTGAATCTCTTCGAAAAAATGATAGACAAATTGTAGTTGTCTTTCATGTGCGTTTCAATTTTTCAAAATTCTAACAAAGTTCATAGTTTTGAAATTTGCACTATTGTTAACAAGTTTCCTTGCATAACTGTATAGGTGTGTTTATATTTTTTTATACTTTTAACTAACTTTTTTATATGCTGTTTTGTATTTTATGATTATTTACAGTTTTTATATATTCAAGTGCAATATTTTTGTTTGATGTGACTGGATATTCTCCTACCTCCCTATACAGAGGCAATAAAAAGCAATATTGCTGTTTATTAAAAGAAGGTGTTTCAATATCAGTAACATACCTGGAAAAGACACAGAATACCATGCGATATGTATGAAAACACTTTATTGCAAACAACACACACAGATATAAAAGGTAGAGCCCTCACATTTCATCAAAAATATCTTAAAGGGGTCATATGATGCGATTTCAATTGTTCCTTTCTCTTTGGAGTGTTACAAGCTCTTGGTGCATAAAGAAGATCTGTAAAGTTGCAAAGACTAAAGTCTCAAATCCAAAGAGATATTCTTTATAAAAGTTAAGAGTCAGCCACACCTACCCAAAACGGCTCGTTCTAACACACCCCCACATGTCTACGTCACTATGTGGGAAGATTTGCATAACGCCGGCCAAATGTTCACGCAAAGAAAGAAGGCGTAACTTTTAGTCTTGCTGTAGTATTGTTGACGCTGCCGCCATGTCCTGAACCTCGTTTGTAATGGGTTTTAATGTTTTTGTCTTTGTAACAGACAAAAAAAAACGGACACGGCATCAATAGTATGTGAGGGGCGTAACATTTCCGTCACACGCTTGAGGTATTCAGCCAATCACAACACA